GCATGTAGTTCTTTTTTAGTTGTGTCTGTCACTGGTTTGGTATCAATGTAATACTTGCCTACAGGAATGATTTTGGAAGGATTGTTTCCTTTTCCATTTCATTGAAGAGTTTGAGACGTATAGGGATTATATTTTCTGTAAATTTCTTGCAGAATTCAGCTTTGAATCCATCAGTACATGATTTTTTAAAAAATTACATTTTGTATTTCATTGACTGTTCTCGTGTTATTGAAGGTTCTTATATACTCTTGATTCAGTTTTGGTAATTTGTACCTTTGTAGGAATCTGTCCATTTCTTGTGTGTCTTCTATTCTCTCAGAATAAAGATTCTCAAAGTAGCTATTGATAATCTTCTGAATTTCCACTAGGCCTGTGGTAATTACACCCTTATAATTCCTTATTGCTTGTTTTCTTTCATCTTTTTGATGAGGTTAGCTAGGGGCTTATTGATTTTACTTAATCTTTCAAAGAACCACCTTTTTGAATTGCGAATTTTTTGAACTGTTTTCTTCATCTGAATTGAATTATTTTCTGCTGTTATCTTTATGATCTCTTTCCATCTTTGGGTTTTGGCTTTGGTTTTCTCTTCCTTTTCTGGATTAACTAGAAATGACCCGTGTGCAGCTGAAAAAAAATGTGTGTTCAGCTGTAGTGGGTGGAACACTCTGTAAATGTCCACTATGTCCATTTGTTCCAATCTCTGGTTCAGTTGTACTCCTTCTTTGCTAATGTTTTTTCTACTGATCCTATCTTTTTGGGATTAGGGTGGTGCAACATTAGGATATTTATTTGTTCCCCCTCTGTTTTGCTAATGTGTGAGTTCACAGCTATAAATTTCCTTCTGAAAACTACTTTCATCGCATCCCATGAATTCCGATAAGTTGTGCTTGAATTTTCACTGAATTGTAGACATTGTTCAATTTCTTTTTTAATTTCTTCTGTGACCTATTGGTAACTGAGTAGAGTGTTGTTTAATCTCCATGTATTAATGTTTTTCTGCTTTCTTTTGTTGTTTATTTCCAGCCCATGCACTGTGGTCAGATAATATGCATGGGATAATTTCTGGTTTTTTGCATATACTTAAGCATGACCTATGGACCAGTATGTGGTCTATTTTATAAAATGACACATGTGCAGCTGAAAAAAGTGTGTATTCAGCTGTGGTTGGGTAGAACACCCTGTAAATGTAAAGTATGTCCATTTGTTTCAAGCTCTGCTTCAGTGCTGCTACTTCTTTGCTAATGTTTTTTCTACTTGACCTACATTTTTGGGATAAGGGAGTGTTAAGTCTCATGTTAAGATTGTGCTATTGGCTCGCACTCCGGCTCGGCCGCCCCTGCGCTCGCTCGCCTGCTCCCGCCGCCCGCGCCGCCGCCTCCGGGCC